CCCCACGGCCTGCCCCTGTAGGTATATGACATTTGTGGCTCTGTCACAACCGCCATACGTCCTTTGCAAGCTTCAAGCTCGCGCCGTGATAACAGGGCCATTTAGGGTATTCTTGCCTATCTCAAACGTGGGTTGTGACTCAGGTGCCGTTGCCCCTTTTTTGTTTTTTATTTTTTTTTGTTCTTGCGCCAGTTAGTGTATTCCTGCGTATTTACAAACGTGAGTTGTGACTCAGGCGCTGTTACCTTCTTTTTTTTTTTTTTTTTTTTTTTAAGCCTTTTTTTTTTTTTTTACTATACTCTTCTCTCAATTTTTCCTCACACTACCCATTTTTGTGACCCCGGTATTTTCTTCCATTGTGGAGAAATTAAAGGTGCGGTAAGTTCCGAGTTAGGGCATACTCACACTAGGGGGGCCTAATTCTCGAAAGTCGCAAAATCTGATGATGTTTTGCAGTCACACTTTCCCCCCACCTCAGCAAAATCAAAATCGCAAAATCTGTGCGATGAGGCAATTGAGTAGTATGGTAGGGGCTTCCAAAGTGGGCCAGGACCACTTGCATGGGGGGCTTTCAGAGTGGGCCAGGACCACTTGCATGGCCGGGCAAAAAAAAGAAGAAAAGGAAAATTATGTTTATTATTAGGGATAATTTGCAACATACCCCCATAAGTTGAGATATATGCAAAAATACCCCTAAAAGATGTGGGTAGAGCGGAATGCCCTTCGGGCAAAGAAAATATTTTGTGAAATACCCCTGGCGTCGGTTGGACTCCCATCTTTGCAATAAACCCTTACCGGGTACCGTCCACCTTTGCAAAATGCCCCAGTACTTGCCAACATTTCCTAGGCGTTATTGCAAAAGGCCAAGGCCCAAACGGGGAGGTCCAGATTGCAAAGTTGCGCCCCCGCCCGACAGGGGCACAACACACAGATTTCGCCCCAAAAGGGCATTCTGCGCTACCCACAATTTTCAGGGGCATTTTGGTATATATCCTAACTTAAGGGGGTATTTTGCAAATTATCCCTTATTATTATTATTGAATTTGGTAAAGAACTTTGATGTGACCCTGAGGCGAAAGTTGTTCAGTTTATTTGTCTGCATAACATAATTTCTTTTCGGTTTTTTTTTTTTTTTTTTTTTTGGAATACTAATGTAATGACAGTGTAGCTTGAAAGTGATGGAGATAGGTCGACACCTATCCCGAAAACACCGATTTGGAGAGGAGAAGCATGGCCATACCAACTCTCCAAAATCGGTGTCAGAAAAAAATTGGAGAGCGGCCAGAACGCGGGTTTCGGGAGTGCTCTCGAAGTTTGTGGATCGCCCCGCCTGCAACACACCGGTTTTGAGGAGTGGTCCGAGGCTCCTTCGATTTCGCCCCCAAATTGGAGAGTGCGCCTCGACCGACAAATGTCTGCTGCCACCGTTTTGTCTAGGTTCGCCACACCACTCTCGAAATGTGAAAAAGAGAAAAAATGTGGCGGGTGCATCTGGCCATGTTCTAGCGAGAAGTTCATTCTCATTTTGCACATTTCGAGAGTGGTGTGGCGAGGCCCGTTGTCTGCGCTCTCCAGAAAATGTCGGGCCTCGTCTGAAGAATTGGAGACTGCCGCCTTGGAGAGCGCAGTGTGGCGGCGAGCCCTCTCGAACGGAAAATTCACATCCTCCCCGTTGGAGAGTACTCCCGAACTTTTTTGCATTTTCGGGACAGGTGTGGCGAGGCCCGTACATGAACACCGAAGAAAGAAGTAACGCAGCATGCAAGATGTACCGAAGAACTCCCTGGCCACTTCTCGGAGATAGAATTTCACTCCCAAGAAAGCGAAAAGTAGCCTGACTGGGGTGGAAGTTAAGCCCCAAGATCAGAACTCAACTTAACCCCCACCCCAGTCAAGCCCCAAAATCAGAACTGTACTTAACCCCCACCCCAGCCACGCCCCAAGATCAGAACTTAACCCCACCGCAGCACGGATGTCCTGCGTCGAGGTGTACTGTTACATACTTCAAAGAGTATGGGCAGAACCAAAGATCAACCAGTATAGGATGAACATTTATGCGGCGGAAGTCTGATAACGAACTGACTCACATAGACTGACCTACATGGCATCGCTCCACACACATGCAATCATGAGATGGTGGGGTCTGGGTCATGCATAGATGATACCCAGATCCTGTACACACATACACAGATGAAAGGTGGGAGGAGAGACGAAGGAGGTAGGAGGTAGATCACACCGATAGGTCACAAGGCAGAGTCCGGTAGGTCCCCGAAATAGTAGTCCAGAATGTCATACAACAAGATCAAAATGTCGAGGACCAAAGGTCACCAATGTCGGAGATAACTGAGTCCAGATGTAACCGGTGTCCAACTGCGATGCAGCCGAGT